TGACGCTCCGATGCCAACTCCTTTGTTTGGACTGATGATCCGAATCCTGAGTGACAGCCGCTCTTCTGGTTCTGCTGAAACCTCCAGGGATTAAATCTGCTTAGATTCTCGTGGTTCAACCTGCAGATGCAGCAAAAGACATCGGAATTAGCACTCAGTTTCCCGTTTGTGAGGATGAAATCCGACGTTCCTGAAGTTTCCTTCTAAAATCACGTTTTCAGGTTGAACCCGTTTTCATTTCCCCTCCGAGCCAGAATCGGTGTAGTTCTGTGTAGAAAAACTCCGGATTTCCAGAATCATTCCCGTCATAAACAAACGTCTCTTCCAGGGAAGCGACTTCAGTTACTCCGAGTCGGACCTCCGGAAGCCCAAGCGCTTTGCCACGTTCTCCTTCGGTCTGAGGAAGAGGAAGAAGAAGGATGAGGAGAACATCTCAAAGAGCACGTTTGGTCTCCACAGCGCTGGCGTGGGGGAGCCAGAGGAGGTGAGTCCATCACAGAACCAGAACCTTTGGGCTAACCCTGACCCGCTCCAGATCCAGGAGTTCTGGTACCAAGCAGAACTTTCTAACTCAGGATTTTAATCTTTACTTGAGCTCATCAGCACCAACTTTAAACGGTTTGGCTTGGGTCAGGGTGAGACTTAAACTGGTTCTGGTTCAGACCCAACAGAACCCAGTTGTTGTACAGGAGCACAAGTCTGACCCGGTACCATCTTCACACAGGGTCCTGTGGACCTCCATCAGCTGGGCCCGGACCAGCCGGACTCTAAGTGGCCCCTCAGCGCGTCTCAGCCAGACCTGGACACCAGCGGGACCTTTGATGTCCCGTCTCCTCCGCCTGTGGCCGCGGTCCGATCAGAACCATCCTTCACTTCTCCAGTCGGGGCCCGACCAGAACCTGGAGAACTTCTCAGGAACAGCTGCGTTAGAGAAGCGCCAGTCGCTCCGATCGCTTCCATCCCTGAACTGCAGCTGGATGACTCAGCCTCATCTGCAGAGATGGAGACCGGTTCTGATCCGAATATCTGCTGCAGTACTGGTGCTGACCCTAACGGGCTGGTGCCCACACAGATCCAGGATCAGGTCCACGTCCTGAATCACACACCTGCTGATGTGGATCAGAACTCATCTGACCTCACATGTGCTGGGCCCGGACCCGTCCTGCCCGGACCCGACGAGCCCGGACCCGTCCTGCCTGGACCCGCCGAGCCCGGACCCGACGAGCCCGGACCCGTCCTGCCCGGACTCACCACCTCCTTGCACCTCCATCCAGGTTCTTCCGTCCTAAAGTTCTCCTCATCAGATCCGGACTGGATCCCGACCACTCCAGATTCCAGCAGAAGTGTTTCTGGACCAGCTGGTCTGGGATCAGCTGGTCTGAAGGAGGCCTCGGTTCTCCTGACAGAGTCGTCAAAAGCAGAACCTGTCACCAGACACCAGAGAACCCGACTCGCCAGTCAGGAGTCTGGTTCTGCTCTCAGACCAGCTGATCATGGAGGACCGTTGGATCTCCTCACAGAGAGAACTGATCCAGAACCTGCTACCTGGACCCCTCCTCTCAGACCTCAGAACACATCAGCTGATGTGCAGAAACCCTCTGGTACCGGTGCGCATCGACAGACCCGACCCGGCTGTGAGGACTCGGTCTACGGGGTTCTGTACGAGTCTCTGTTCCCTCGCAGCTTTAGCTCCGAGGTTCTGACGCCTCTCCTGCACCGTCCCACCCGGCCGGCTATGAGACCTCCTGCCTCTGAACCAGAACCAAACTCAGCTGATCCTCCTGCGGACTCCCGCCCCCGCCTGCTGTCACATGACTCTGCGACAGGTTTTTCCTGCTCCGGTGCTGTAGAGCTGACCGGTTCTTCTCTGGACCAAACCTCCGGTTCTCCTCAGCCGGAGCAGAGACCTCCACAGACCCAGCAAAGGTCCGATCGGGTTCCTGACACCGAGCGGATTGGGTCTCGTTCCGAGCCGGCGTGCTCCGGCGCCGGAGCGTCTCTGGAGGCCGAAGCTCAGGTTTCTCAGTCCAAACACAGAGTGGTCTTCGTCAAGCAGCTGGTCCCAGACGTGTCCTCGAGTCCTGCTGGTGAGATGACTTCCCTGGACCTCCAGGAGAGACTCAGCGGGACGGAGACGTCTCCTGAGCCGCCGGGCCTGAAGGAGGGCAGCACCAGACCTCTGAGTCCAGCGTACCTGAGCGTGGGGTCAGACGAGGGCAGCCAGGTGGAGGTCTACTTCAGCGCTCAGGAAGACGACGCGGAGGACAGCCGGGACCAGGACACGTTCAGGGAAGACCAGAGACGGGACACGTGTGAGCTGCTGGGTGAGGACGGCCAGGTAGACGGAAGAGACGTGAGACGGGTCAGAGACGAGCATCAGAGGAGCAGAACCAGCAGGGAGGAAGCAGGTCAAAGGTCAGCGGATCAGCTGCTGCTCAGAGGAAGTTCTGACCCAGACCCGGAACCGACCAGAACACAGCCTGGAGGCGAGGGGGGGAGGGAGGAGCTACCGGCCCCACCGGTCCAACAGGTGAACAGGCTGATGGAATGTGACTCCGCCCCACCCTCCTCTAAAGCGCAGGAGGGGAACTGGGCCGGAGAAACCCAAGAACCTTCTGACGGAGAGCTGCAGCCTCTGGGCCCGATTCTGGTTTCCACGGCGACCAGGAGGCCCCGTGAAACAGGAGGAGGCTCCACCGGGGAGGGGGAGGGGCTACCTGCAGCAGAGGGAGACGAGCAGGCTTCACCTGCAGTAGACACCTCATGCGTGCTAGCAGACACACGTGTCGCAGGTGAGCCCGGCCCAGCTAGACCAGAACCTGGAGCTGCTCCTCCGAGTCGTGAGGGGGCGGGGACAATGACTCAGAGCTCCGACAAAGACACCGCCACGCTCCAACGGGCGCCAGTCCAGTCATCCACTCCAAAGCTCGACACGGCACATCCCGACGGAGACGCTGCGGAGCTGCACCCAGCCGAGGACTACAGGTGAGTCCGACAGGTGGAGGCGGGACCGGTTCGGCTCAGGTGTCAGTCAGGTGTCGGTATCAGTCAGGAGCTTCAGGGGAAGCTTTTCACTTAGAAAGTGTTCAGGGTCACATGACGGATGTAACCTGCTCACCTGTCTTCCTGCTCCGCTTTTATTCTGAAAGGGGACCCTGAGCTGCTTTGGAGTGTCGCCGTTCTACCTGCAGCTCAGGTGACCTAATCCCAGCATTCCTGTTCAAAATGTTCAATCAGGAGCGCCGACGCGGCACAGGCCGGAACACGTTCCCCCTCCGGGACCGTTTGGATGTGTCAGATTAAGACCTGATCAGATGAGCCGCAGGTAGATTCCCGCAGACTAACCTGGAACTGATCCCAGATCAGGGACACGGAATCAGCTGATCCACCTGTCCGGAACCAGAGAGGTCCGAGTCGCTGAGATGTTTACCTTCCCACTGCTGCATCAGAGTCCAACCTGGGATCAGAACCATCTAGGATCAGAACCATGTGGGATCAGAACCAGATAAGATCAGAACCAGATAAGATCAGAACCATGTGGGATCAGAACCATGTAGGATCAGAACCATGTGGGATCAGAACCAGATAAGATCAGAACCATGTGGGATCAGAACCATGTGGGATCAGAACCAGATAAGATCAGAACCATGTTGGATCAGAACCAGATATGATCAGAACCATGTAGGATCAGAACCATGTGGGATCAGAACCAGATAGGATCAGAACCATGCAGGACCAGAACCAGATAGGATCAGAACCAGATAAGATCAGAACCATGTGGGATCAGAACCAGATAGGATCAGAACCAGATAGCATCAGAACCAGGTAGGATCAGAACCAGGTAGGATCAGAACCAGGTAGGATCAGAACCTTGTAGGATCAGAACCAGATAAGATCAGAACCAGGTAGGATCAGAACCAGGTTGGATCAGAACCAGATAGCATCAGAACCAGGTTGGATCAGAACCAGATAGCATCAGAACCAGGTAGGATCAGAACCAGATAGCATCAGAACCAGGTAGGATCAGAACCTTGTAGGATCAGAACCATGCAGGATCAGAACCTTGTAGGATCAGAACCAGATAAGATCAGAACCAGGTAGGATCAGAACCATGTAGGATCAGAACCAGATGGGATCAGAACCAGATAGGATCAGAACCAGATGGGATCAGAACCAGATAAGATCAGAACCAGATAGGATCAGAACCATGTAGGATCAGAACCAGATGGGATCAGAACCAGATAGGATCAGAACCAGATGGGATCAGAACCAGATAAGATCAGAACCAGATAAGATCAGAACCAGGTAGGATCAGAACCAGGTAGGATCAGAACCATGTGGGATCAGAACCAGATGGGATCAGAACCAGATGGGATCAGAACCAGATGGGATCAGAACCAGATAGGATCAGAACCAGATGGGATCAGAACCAGATAAGATCAGAACCAGGTAGGATCAGAACCTTGTAGGATCAGAACCAGATGGGATCAGAACCAGATAAGATCAGAACCAGGTAGGATCAGAACCTTGTAGGATCAGAACCATGTAGGATCAGAACCAGATGGGATCAGAACCAGATGGGATCAGAACCAGATAAGATCAGAACCAGATATGATCAGAACCAGATATGATCAGAACCATGTAGGATCAGAACCAGATGGGATCAGAACCAGATGGGATCAGAACCAGGTAGGATCAGAACCTTGTAGGATCAGAACCTTGTAGGATCAGAACCAGGTAGGATCAGAACCATGTGGGATCAGAACCATGTAGGATCAGAACCAGATAGCATCAGAACCAGGTAGGATCAGAACCAGATAAGATCAGAACCAGGTAGGATCAGAACCATGTAGGATCAGAACCAGATGGGATCAGAACCAGATAGGATCAGAACCAGATAGGATCAGAACCAGATGGGATCAGAACCAGATAAGATCAGAACCAGGTAGGATCAGAACCTTGTAGGATCAGAACCAGATGGGATCAGAACCAGATAGGATCAGAACCAGATAGGATCAGAACCAGATGGGATCAGAACCAGATAAGATCAGAACCAGGTAGGATCAGAACCTTGTAGGATCAGAACCTTGTAGGATCAGAACCAGGTAGGATCAGAACCAGGTAGGATCAGAACCATGTGGGATCAGAACCATGTAGGATCAGAACCAGATGGGATCAGAACCAGATGGGATCAGAACCAGATAGGATCAGAACCAGATAGGATCAGAACCAGATAGGATCAGAACCAGATGGGATCAGAACCAGATAAGATCAGAACCAGGTAGGATCAGAACCTTGTAGGATCAGAACCAGGTAGGATCAGAACCAGATGGGATCAGAACCAGATAGGATCAGAACCAGATGGGATCAGAACCAGATGGGATCAGAACCAGATAGGATCAGAACCATGTAGGATCAGAACCAGCTGATTGTATTTGGACTTTTACTTCCCGTCTCTTAGGCAGACAGAACCGTTTCACTTTTCTACGTTTATGACGTTCCTGTCGCTCCTCCAGCTGTTGGAGATGCTCTGAAGCCCGGTAGAACCTCACTGATTCTCGTTCTGAGGGCCGCTAAATAAAAAACACGAGTAGCAGCTGGCCCGAGTTTCTGATTGGCCGATAATCCGTCACACCAACAGAACTGGGTCAGGGTTATACTTCATCTTTTGACTAGTCAGAACCACTGCGTGCCGGTCCAGAACCGGCCCAGATTATTGTGTAAAAGGCCTGCTGCTGTCAGGACCCAGATCCGAGCCCGCACCATCAGGCAGATGGACCGTCCTCATCATCTGGGACACAGAGTCCATTCCCCCCAACAAGGATCTGGAGTTCTGACCCATCTGTCCGCTGTGGACCAGAACCAGAAGGGCTTATATCCGTATGTGAGAACCGCAACGTAAGGACATGACTGCGGGCTCGGTCCAACAAAAGTAAATAATAAACAAAATTAGAATCAAAAATAAACTCAACGAAGTGATGAAGCAGCTACTAGTCACAAGTCAGTGTAGGTTCTGGTCAGAGCGGGCCTCAAGTCATCAATAAACCCAATTCCTGTGTGTGTGTGTGTGTGTGTGTGTGTGTGTGTGTGCGTGCGTGTTTGTGTGAGCGTGAGCGCCCGTGTGTGTGTGTGTGTGTGTGTGTGTTTGTGTGTGCGTGTGCGTGCGTGTGTGTGTGTGTGTGTGCGCGCGTGCGTGTGTGTGTGTGTGCGCGTGCGTGCGTGTGTGTGTGTGTGCGCGTGCGTGCGTGTGTGTGTGTGTGCGCGTGCGTGCGTGTGTGTTTGTGTGTGAGCGTGTGTGTGTGTGTGTTTGTGTGTGCGTGTGCGTGCGTGTGTGTGTGTGCGCGCGTGCGTGTGTGTGTGTGTGTGCGCGTGCGTGCGTGTGTGTGTGTGTGCGCGTGCGTGCGTGTGTGTGTGTGTGCGCGTGCGTGCGTGTGTGTTTGTGTGTGAGCGTGTGTGTGTGTGTGTTTGTGTGTGCGTGTGCGTGCGTGTGTGTGTGTGCGCGCGTGCGTGTGTGTGTGTGTGTGCGCGTGCGTGCGTGTGTGTTTGTGTGTGAGCGTGTGTTTGTGTGTGTGTGTGTGTGTGTGTGTGTGTGTGTGTGTGTGTGTGTGTGTGTGTGTGTGAGCGTGTGCGTGTTTGTGTGCGTGCGTGTGCGTGAGCGTGTGTGTGTGTGCGCGCGTGCGTGAGCGTGTGTGTGTTTGTGTGTGTGTGTGCGTGCGTGAGCGTGTGCGCGTGAGTGTGCGTGCGTGTTTGTGTGAGCGTGAGCGCCTGTGTGTGTGTGTGTGTGTGTGTGTGTGTGTGTGTGTGTGTGTGTGTGTGTGTGTGTGTGTGTGTGTGTGTGTGTGTGTGTGTGAGCGTGTGCGTGTTTGTGTGTGTGCGTGTGCGTGAGCGTGTGTGTGTGTGCGTGTGCGCGCGTGCGTGAGCGTGAGCGTGTGTGTGTTTGTGTGTGTGTGTGCGTGCGTGTTTGTGTGAGCGTGAGCGCCCGTGTGTGTGTGTGTGTGTGTGTGTGTGTGTGTGTGTGTGTGTGGCCGTGGCCACTCGGACCCGTCGCCTGCTCTGGGCAGTTTACTTTGACACCAGCAGGTGGCAGCAGAGCTCAAGCCGTGGTCTGTTCCAGCAGAACCAGGACAGTCCGTCCTGCAGCTTCCTGTTTGGGTCAGAACTTCCTGTATGGGTCAGAACTTCCTGTTTGGGTCAGAACTTCCTGTTTGGGTCAGAACTTCCTGTACGGGTCAGAACTTCCTGTGTGACGGACGTTTTGGTGGAACCAGTCTGGCCCGACGTGTTTACAGAAGGATTTCAGAGTTCCACCCCGACACACATTCTTACACCTGAAGCGAGGCTCTGCTGACAGACGGGTGCTGACAGGTATTCAGGCGGCCACACCTGTCCCACGTGTTCTCCAGCAGGTGTCGCCCTAACCCGCACCAAACCTGAGACCTGGTTTCGTTTAAGCAGGAGTGGGGAACCCGGTCCTCGAGGGCCGGTGTCCTGCACGTCTGT